ATTCCTGCTCAATTGTGTAAGAATCTCACTAGTTGCCTTTGGTGTCAGGATTTGTGAGAAAGGCTCCATGAAGGAGAAACTGAGAAAGTCGTTGCTTGCTTCAGATGATGCCAGACCTGGAAAAGGAGACAAGCTACACAAGCGCAATATCCACCGTAGTGACGGTGCAAAATATATGTCATACTTAAAGGTTGGTGTCTTTGTTATTTCTTAGTTTATATGAAGTACTTTAGTATTTATTCTTTACCTTAATGGCAGGATTCATCCATCATAAAATTCTCCTGTTTGTCAAGTTTTACGTGTCTACACTTTTTACCTTGCATGCTTAGGTGACCACCACAATCAATGTTTACCTAAAGTAGTAACCAAGTCAAGTGACAATAATCTCTCTCTCTCTTGCATATAAAAATAAGGTTAGAAATTTGCAAAATGTTGGAAATGTGGAAAATACATGTGATTCTTCTCCTCATCTTGTTTTGAACTTTTCTCTCTTTTTAAGGATTTTGCTGATGACCTGCATTTGATATCAGATAAGCAAGAAGCAGCACCAACTTGTTAAGATCATGAAGCAGTCTGGTAAAAGCATTCAATCTAAGTCTCTTAACTGTGTGTTAGGTGATCTTGATACTTTGCATGTACAACCATATGAAGAATTCGTGAAAGAGGAACAAAAGAAGTTGCAGGAGCATTGGTTAGTTGTACATTGTTGGACTACACTATCTTTTTACAGGCACAAAAATATTTGATTTCTTCTCTCAAAATGTGATTTTGTTTTATGTAGGATGCAATTGGCAAACAAAGATCTTCCTGTAGCATATGCAATTTGGAGAGAGAGACAGTTTCAGAGACAGGAGATAACCAAATCTTTGGAGGAAGAGATATTAAAATATCCAGTGGAGGTCTGATATTCTGGCCTTGTGTATTTTTTCTTTTCGTGGGCTTGTATCATTTTGTTGCATGTCCAGGGCAGCAGAATTTGTATGACAGTGAAATCCTAGAAATCTTCCCTGTTCTATATTTAACTTGTTTGGTTCCTGAACCAGCATCTGGAGAAAGATGGTCATGAGACTCTGCTTCGGGATCAGAGCGATCAATGTGCAGACCAACATGACACTAACACGGAGGTTTAATTCTCTGTCCTCATATCAACCACCCCACCCTGCCTTTTTTTTTTTTTTTTGCTCATCACTCAATTATACAGCTAATATCATCTGCTTACCATCAGAACCTGTTTAACCCAATTCTCATTGTTGAATGATGGTGAATTCTTCCATACTTGATTCTAAGTTTGGCTTTTTTGTCATTGTTTTTTCAGGATAAGCAGGAACAGGACCATGAAATTGTGTTTCAGGATCAGCAGGAACAGAACCATGAAATTGTGGTTCAGGATCAGCATGATCAGAACCATGAAATTGTGCTTCAGGATCAGCATGATCATGGATCAAGAAACGAAGAATCCAGCATTTCTGATTAGCAGGAACAGAACCATGAAATTGCGCTTCAGGATCAGCATGATCATGGATCAAGAAACGAAGAATCCAGCATTTCTGATTATGGAGATTCTGGTTCAGGCTCCCAGCAGAATCAGTCCCCACATCATCTTTCCTCCCTCTCTGTTAGCCATGATCTTAATCCCATAGATATGAATATGGAAAATAATCATGTCCATTTGAACTCTAATTCAGATGAAGCTTCTCCACATTTATCTGAGTACTCAGGGACCATGCACATCGGAGACGCTTCCATTGATCAGGGAGTTCCTTTCTCTTCTGGTGGAGATGTCTGGTCAGCAGTTAGCATACCCAACTCATATTATGATTCCACTGCAAATCATGAATACACATCTACTGGTAGATTGTCACTGCCACATCAAGTTAATGAAGAACAATGCTCCCAGTTGATTGATTTGGAATCTGAAGTGCATGAAGAGGAAACCGGAAAAGATTTATTGCACAGACAATCTGATGATGGTTCTTTCAGTTCTTACCCAAACCATGATCGTAGTGGGTTGCTTCAATCTTTGTTCAAAGGTCAGGTAACTTTACCCTACCATAATGAACAAAAGCCAACCGGGTTGGATTTTCAATCACCAAATGATGTTATAATGGAAGATGGTCAGTATACAGGGCATATCCAGGGGCAGCTTCAGTCCTCGCTGTCACTTGAACAGAGACAGAAGAATCACATTGAGGAGTACATGCAACAAAATATATCAGAGGACATTTATTCTGAGGGAGGAGGATTCTTGATTCCAAGACAAGGACATGCTCCACTAGTCAATCTGCAAGAGTGGAATGTTAATCCTGTTCGCATGCCAGCACGGCTCCAATCCCATCCAAATGATGATGGTTTGTTAACCCAGAACTGGTTCTCTGGGGAGCATCAAGTTCGCGGGGACTGGAATGGTGCAGGTGGTGTTAGTGTCTCAAACCAGAGCATTGGAAGTAATGCAGATCAAAGCCTATTTAGTGTTCTATCCCAGTGTAACCAACTGCATATGGCAAGGCCCATTAACCAGTTACATTCAGGTAGCCCCACCAACCAGCGTCCAAATGGTACCATAGATTCAGTGGGCTCTGCTGAGCAGTTTGTGTTGCCGAGGGCCTATGGTATGGTGAGCGGGGTTACCCCCAGGGTCAGTAATGCTTTACCACAACCAGCTCATCCACTCGATTACTTTAGCGGGCGTGACACTGCTAGTTCCCTGATGCCCGATGATATGGGATGGATGGCTTTGCCACAGAATTCTGTTTTACACGATCCAATGGGGAAGCCATACTTGAGGTCGTGGAATCGATGAATACCCTTCCCCCCTCATTTTTGGTAGGTGAAGTACAAGGTTATGATCACGAGAAGAAATGCCTTCATAGGAAATCGTGACTTGTTATCTATTATAGGGAATTTTGAACTTATTGCAAGGTTTGCAGAAGTGTAGAAGCTTGTGACAAATTCTGAGATAGGTTTTTGTACATACTTTATACGAGAGCCAATTAAAGCACCATGTAAATATCCAGATGTTAGATAGGCAGGTGAGAGCAAGGGCAAGGAAGGATCGAAAAAGATTCTGATATCTTCTATCTGGTAGGTAAGTTACACTGCATTTTTTGTTTCCAGTCGCATTTTTTTTCTTTGTTGACCGAGAAACATCTTTCAATAAATTTGAAGGCTGGAGGCTCTCACATCTTTGTTTTTGATTCACCGGTTGGTTCTTTCATTGATTGCACACTCAATTCTACTTTCAAGAGTTTTTCAAAGTCCATGCTGTAGTCTTAAGTAGCTCAGTAGAAAAATAACATGGTTTCAACAAAAAATGATTTGTTTTGTTTTGACGAAGCATCCCCCCTTTTTTTTTTAATTTACAAAGTTCCAACATTTTATTTATTATCAATAAATACTCTTTTCATTGAATTGATTTTATCTTACTTAAATTGCTGTGATTTTTTTTCCCTCTCAAAATAATTTTAATCCTATATTTTATGTTAAACTGTTTTAATTTTACACCAAAAATATAACTTCATTTATTTGTAGAGTTTGCATAGAAATAGAGCATTTATTCGTATAGAGTTTGATTTATTTTTTAAATTTAAAATAGACAAAGCTATGTTCCCGTTTTTGTCCTACCATACTATTTTGAAAAAAAAAAAAAACCATCAATAAAAAAAATGAAATTCTTATATTTTTATAGGTGAGAAAATTTTTCTTTTAAAAAAACCAACAAATAACAAATCAACTACTCAATATTGATGCGCACCCATCCAAATAAAGGATATGGTGATGCTTTCAAGAATACAGTAGGAAGAACAGAATTGGCGATCATTTTTAGACCCCGGGAGGCATAATAATAATAAAAAGATCTGTGGAAAGACAAAAAAAAAAAAAAAAACCTTAAGGTTAGTTTTAATTTCTTGACCTCCATGAGTATTTTAGTTGTTCAATAGTATGTATTTTTCTATGTTCTATTAAATATCAAAATACCCCTTACCTGGCATAATAATAATTACATTAAAAAAAATATGAAATCATCAACGGCCCTCGAAGCCAGTTCCAAGACTCTTGCTATTATGAGCATTTTTGACATTTTATTTTACTTTTGAAACACGAAAAAGACTTACTTGTACGTGATTAATTTGACAATAATTAGTTTATATTGTAAAAAGATTTTAATAGCGCTAGTTTTAATATTTTTAACATGAAAGACAAAACTATCATCATACCATGCTAATAAACATTTGTTTTCTAGCTAGCATCTACAATGTTTTCCAAAGGTACAGTGACTTCTGTTGATCTATATAATTGTTCTTCAATACATAAAATAAAATAAAATAAAATAAAATAAAATGCTTGAGTTGTGCATATATATATATATATAAATAAATAAATAAAAGATGATTTGGATTTTGAGGTGCACAAGAAATCATTTAATGTTTTAAAATGACGAGTATGATTATTTTTTTTAACTATTCAGAGTGAAAATCTAAATTTTGATTGAAAAAAAAGAGATGTCAACGGTTTTCGTGTCTTCAACATTTCATCAAATCAAAATCTTGGAAGTCGTCACTGCCACGTTTACTTTAACGGAACGAGTCAAGACCGTGTGTCTATTCCGACCTCGATAATAAACACACACACACACAATGAACACGGTGACACGTAGAAATTAAAACAAAAAATAAAATAAAAAGAAGATAATCAACATAAAATAAACAGGGCAGGGACAAGGATTTTATTTGTTTGTGTGGTATAATTACTTTTTAAAATGTTTTTTTAAATTATTAAAATAATATTTTTTATTATTAAAATTAATTTAAAATATATATTTTTTAAATTTTAATAATTTTTTTTTAAAAAACCCGAAAATCAATCGAGCAATCATCGAAAGCTGGGCTGCCATTTGCCGACAGCCATTTCAAATAGTTGCTGGGCAAAAGTAAAACAGGACAAACAAACACGGGGGACAGGCGGACTTGTTTCTAGTTTTTCCCAGCATTCATCCCTATACTCTTGGAATTGTTTCGATCGAGTCCCTCTGGGCTAAAAATCAGAAACTGAAATTTCCCTCCGAAAAGGACGGGTAGGTTACAGCCTTTGTCGGGCCTGTTTTACGTTGTTGTTGAGCAGCTGTTCTATTTTAATTTTTACATTATTTTTAATTTTTGTAAATATTATCTTGAAATATTTATAAATACAGATAATTTAAAAGATAAGCTCTGACACATTTGCAATGAAAGTTAATGGCGTAAGCATAGTGAAGGGTGTATGAGAAACTGGCAAATTAATTATCAAAACTGAAAGAAACCGAAACATACCAGCCCCTTGGTTTTTTTTGCCTTTGATTCCAAAGCCAAAGCCAAAGCCAGAGAAGAAGTAGAGGAACAAAAAAACAATCTTATTCTTTGCTTTTATGCACATAATCTCCTTAGCTTGACACTACCTTCTTTCTAAAATACCCCAACACTTGTAGTATATATATATACAGGTTAGGGGTGTAAAACAAGGCAGGTTTTTTTGTTTGTTTGTTTGAAGAAGGGCTGGATTTGTTTTGGTTTCGAGGGGGAAATGGAGAGGAAGAAGAAAGAGGTGATCAGATTGGAAAGGGAATCAGTAATCCCAATTCTGAAACCAAAGCTCATCATGACCTTGGCCAACCTCATTGGTATGTTTCTGTTTCATCTCTTTCCTTAGTTTTTCGTTGTTTATACATGGAGTAGGATTATGGGCTGCCTTTGTTTTCTCATTTTTTCTTATAGTTGGGTCCATTAGATTAGATTTCAGTTTGTTTCTGACGCGAAAGCGAAAGAAAGGGACAGTGAATGTGTTTTCTGTCTAATTTAATCAGAACAGGAAGAGGGTATGAACTTAGCCTTTGCAGGTAACATTTGTCTGATTGAGTCTTTGAAGGTTTTTGCAGAACATGGCAATGACAGGGCGGAGTTTGTAAAACTATGCAAGAGAGTCGAGTACACCATACGAGCTTGGTATCTTCTGCAGTTTGAAGATTTGATGGTACTGGTTATTTTTTCGTTGTGTTTATTCAAACTATGCATCACAATAACTTCGTCAAATCAAGATGTTTTAACGTTCATCTCGTGTCTCCAGCAACTGTATTCTCTCTTTGACCCTGTGTCCGGCGCTAAGAAATTGGAGCAGCAGAACCTGTCTCCTACTGAAATTGATGTACTTGAACAGAATTTCCTAACCTACTTATTTCAGGTATTGCACTTCTTCTTCATTTCTTTTTTATGTTTCAGGTCAGGTGGGTGGGTGGGTTTGGACATGCATGGAATAAAAACAGGCAACACTATCATAAGAAAAGGATATTAGAGGTTGTAATGGTTAAGAAGGCAATAAGGATGGCCTTTTCTTTTGAAAAAGAAAAAAAGCTAGGACATTTTTGCAACTTTAAACTACAATCAATTCAAGAGAACCAAATTGGTTATTAAGCAAGACATGGCTAAGAATCAAACAAAGATGGGAATAAATCCACTGTAAACTCTAATTCCGTTCTTGTTCTATAAAAAGGTGATGGACAAGAGCAACTTCAAGATAACAAGTGATGACGAGATTGAGGTTGCACTCTCTGGACAATATCTTCTAAATCTTCCTATCAAAGTTGAAGAATCCAAGGTTTTTGATCTCATGCCTTTAAATAATTTCATTTATAAGAGATGCTTGCTTTTTTCAACATTTTTTGTGGGCATCCCATGGATATGTTCATTCATCTTCAAATCTTCCTGTTCCACCATCCTTTTTTTTGCTGTGCAGCTTGACAAGAAACTTTTGAAGACGTACTTTGCTGATCATCCTCAAGAAAACCTCCCAGACTTTTCTGATAAGGTATTGCACTAAATTGAACTTAAAACATCATGATCATTTAAAAACCTCTGCTCATGACTGCCTTTGTGAGTATCAATCAACATAAATTTTCCCTGTTCTTGTGTTTGGGAGAAGGGGTATGCAGGGAATAATTTGATGACTGCCATCTCCAGTTATCTGATCTCTTTGAGCTATCGTTTCTGTTTGGGGGATTTGTTGGTTTCTGTACATCGCTTTGCACATGCCCTTATCTGTTGGTAGCCTCTTGATACCTATGCAGCATGTGAAATGGTTGGCTCCTGGTCACATGTCAAAACCATTGAAAAGCACCCAAAAAGAGGAAAAACACTTTGGATAAGCACTAGCAACTGCATTACCAAACATTCCCTTATTATGCTTGCATGCAATTTTATTCAATATATTTGCCATTGCAACTTCTGAATTTCTTTGATTTTGTGCACCAGGGCTTTCACTTTGCACTTCACTTCAATTTTAGAAATAATTGACGCGAACTGTGAGAGTTTGAGGTTAACTAATATTTCCAAGTCTTATAAAAGCTTAAAAATATCTGAATCAGTTTTGGATAGCTATACCATGAAGAGTGATTGCACTCCTAGAGCCAATACTTTCATGTGAATTTTGGTCTTAACAATGCATCTTCATTGTTGCGTGTCTCGAACAGCTGCCATGAGTTTCATTATTATCTTTTACGCTTAATGCTCCACTTTGCTCAAGTTTTGATCACTATCATCCTGGAACATTGCCTAAACCAATTGAATTTACATTCCAGCAATGACATGTTGCAGCAACTTCCTAAATTCTAATACCATTATCTACATGGAGCATAATTATGTGATTGACTTTGTTGTTGTCTTGGGTTGTGAAATAAAAGACAATTCTAAAACAGTTTCAGTTGTAAGTGTCCAAATATCTTTTCTCTGCTTCTGCCATTTTGCACTATTTTCTTTTCTATATGAAAAATAAAGTCACTGCTTTTGGTACCAGAACCTGTTTCCTGGCCTTGCATAATGTTGGATCGGATGAAATGTTAGCTTTTAAGATCTTCAGATGATGAAGTGACAGGCTCAGTTTAACTCCAGTGAACTCTTCCTCTTTTGTGAAATGAATCATCTTCTTTCTGAAATGCTAGTCTGGCAACAGGGAGTCATACTGTAACGAAAAAAAATATCCAAAGCAATTTCAGTTTCATGGATACCTTTTGTTTATCTATTTGTGTTTTTTTGGTAAAACTTTGGATGTAGGGATCTATGCTCCTTAACTTTGTTTTATGTTTATTGTCAAATAGCTCATTTCAATTTGTTTGTGTCTTTATAAAGGTGATGGCTTTACTGGGTGACATAGGTTAGGGAATTTGATTGCAGTTTTTCCTGATATCTAGAACCTTGATGAATGGTGCAGGTTAAGCCACCTGACCATTATTGACCTATGTGATGCAATAAATTCCACAATGTATCAGACTCTGTCCCATATTATCGTGGTTGAATGCTCTTCACTGAATTGACATGTATTAAATGAAAGGCAGATAGGTTTTAAAGTGTTAACTACAACACTTAAAATAGTTGTTTTCTTTTCTTATTATATGCCATTAAAGGAATCTAATCTGTATTATCACTTGTTTTAGTACATTATCTTTCGGCGTGGGATTGGAATTGATAAAACAACTGATTATTTTGTCCTGGAGAAAGTGGACATGCTCATTGGACGTCTTTGGGGATCTCTTTTAAGAGTAACCCGGTAAGCAATCTTCTGCCCATGATTTAAAAACTTAATTGTATCTAAGATATGACTGGACATAATTTTAGGGAGTTGAGATCTAAAATAGTTTGCATCTTTTTATATGCAAATGCATGAATGGTATTTACCCATATCAAATGAAATTAAAAAAAAAAAACATTTTCTTAGCAAGCTTTAGTTGTTACCTGCAGCACTGTTGATCAAATAGCATGGATATATGCAATTGTTTGCTATTAATGCTCCTAAACTCGAAGTGACTGATTAAAAAGGGACATCCAGCATGTGATTTACTTTCAATGAGAATACCGTTGCCTTCATGATTGGCAATATAAATTGTTTTATTCATTCCTTTCCTTTTTTTAATTCTTTCTGGGTTTTATGGTGCTTGCAGGCTAGACAAAATTTTCGCAAGAAAGTCAAGGGGACAGCATAAGAAAGATTTAAAGAAGAACGATGACCATAACTCTGAAGAAGATCAGGATGATTTATTTGTCGAAAGAATCCGACTGGAAAATATGGATTTGAGGTTATGTGATGTTTTATTAAAGAAATCTCTCTCTCTCTCTCTCTCTCTCTCTCTCTCTATCTATCTTTCTCATCCACTTTCATGAACAGAAGTTCTAGAAAAGTGAAACTAAATGATCAGTACTTAGGAGTGTATTACATCTTTTCCACATCATGATTTTTTTTAATCTCTTTACTGACTTAAATATCAGTTAATTTCAATATAAATTGTAATTTAGTTCTGCAAGTATACTAAGTTGAGCCAAAAACAACATTCTGGTCAAGATGCTGGAATTTAGGCAAAAGTTGGAACCTTGAAAATCTTACACTAGATCTGTGTCTGTTGTTATAGGACCAAGTTAATCATGGTTGCGTTTATATTATCTAATAAGTTACTATGTCTTTTCTTGGGACAAAGTGGGAAAAATGTTATAATGAATGACAAAAGGCATGTATTTTTGTTCTATACACTCAATGTCACAAACACCTGAGAAATATGTGTTTTTTAAGTTGCATGTATTGAATCTCTTCTGTTTATCTTATGCCATGACATTCTTACTTCTACTTTGTCTCCTCCAGTGTTAAAAATTTGCTGAGAAAGACTACAATACAAGAGCCTACATTTGATAGGATTATAGTCGTTTACAGGTATTGCTTGTTCTCATTTACCAAGAAAATTATCAAGGGTTTGCTTCATATTATCCTTTAGGACCTGCATTCCTAAAAATCCTAGTTTTCACTTCGATGTATCATTTCATCATCCTTTAGAACTCTGTTAAGAAACCATTAAGGATCCAATTTGCAACTGACACTTGCACACGCGTGCACGCACACATGTACACACAATGTTTTAAGGTAGAGCAATTACCTTAAATATTAAGGATGCTTATTAAGGATCTTTCGTTATTATATGGAATCACATAACTGTTATTTTTTTTTAATCGTGATATCTAACTCATTGACAAGAATGGCAATTTTCCAGGAGAGCAGCTCCAAAATCTAAAACAGAGCGAGGGATATACGTGAAACATTTCAAAAACATTCCAATGGCTGATTTGGAAATAGTTCTTGTGAGATATTAACTGTTTTCTGCTTCTCTTAGTTTTAATTCTACTTTCTATTTGTTGCCCCATATTCAAGACATCCACTTTTGACTTCATGTTGAAACATCATTTCCTTTTTCAACAGCCTGAAAAGAAAAACCCAGGGTTAACTCCAATGGACTGGGTCAAGTTCCTGGTTTCTGCTGTAGTTGGGCTGGTGAGTTTTATGAATGAAGTTGCTTCAGTTGACTGCACTCTGGCTTTCAATCATTTTGTTCAAATGCACTTAACATGTCTTTCTTTGCAGGTTGCTGTGTCTGGTTCGGTTGAGATGCCTAAGGCTGATCTTTGGGTCATTTTTGCTGTCCTTTCCACAGTTGTTGGTTACTGTGCTAAAACATACTTCACGTGAAGTCTCCCTCCCTCCCTCCCTATTCACTTTCTTCACCTTTTTAAATTCCTAGAATGTCCTTATGTGTTAATTTTTATCACTTTGCATGTGGCAAATTCGTTGTGGATCTAATGAATGGTTCGCTGGAAGATTTAGATTGCATCCTGCACATTCCTTGTTACATGTTATCATCCTTCTTTTCTTTCTTTGATTTTCCCTTTTCTTTTGGTTCTTACGGTGGCAAGAGCAGGACTCAACTTGAGACCTGCCCACTGATGCTGGCCCGCAAAATAGATTTATTAGAAGTGCATATTTTAGAAAGAAATGTTAACTTCAATTTTGTTATTTTAGTTTCCTTCTGGTTTTCCTATTTTTATATGTTTGGGCGCCGCACCATACCTAGATTGGCAGTTTTAAATGTTGAACATCAAAAGAAAAATTGAGATTTCTCTCAGAGAGTGGCGTCTCTAGTCTGTGATCTTGTTGGTGGTTCTACATCTCCCACTCTTCCAAATTTGATAAGGGTGAGTACCATTTAGCTAAATGCCCACTGGTCGTATAATCTTATTTTGCTGTCCCATAACTGCTATGATGACCTATGCAGAATTTCATGAGGATATGCAACAGGTTAAACCCGTGACTCAGCTTGCCAATTTAATTCAAAATAATATTTTACCCTTGGCGTTTCATTTATGGAATGCTTTTGGGAGTGCACATAATTTGGTGTATGCACTCTGGCTGGAGGGGATTGACTTTTTGCAAATTCCCTCATTGATATTTGTAATGCCAGGCTTGTGTTTATTCAGATAAGGCAATTTATTTTTTCAGATTTTATACTCACCTTCACCTAATTTTTGCTGTCCTGACTGTACACTGCAATTTTTATTGTCACTTCCCATTTCAGGATTATGTTTTCTTAGCTTGTCTCTCTCGTGGTGTGTTTCTTGATTTAAATGTCCTTCATTCCTTTCTTTTATTCCTTGAGTTTGTTTTTTTTTTTTTTTTGCCAGTAATGACTGATGTGGCTATTGTTTTTTCAACTACCTGCAGGTTTCAGCAAAATTTGGCTGCATATCAGAACTTAATAACACAGTCCATGTATGATAAACAACTAGATAGTGGAAAGGGTACTCTTCTTCATCTGTGTGATGATGTGATTCAACAGGAAGTGAGTTTCATACAACATGTTCACTTTTTTGCTCTTTGCAATAATTTCATTTTTGTTTTATTCAATGAGCTATATAATGTGTATAATGGTTCTACTCACTTTTGAAGGAGGTAGCTGTAACTATTCATAACATGCAGTTGACTAATTAATTTGTTTTTTGGTTATCCCTTTAAAATAACATTTCTTTTTCGGAATTGGGAGAGGGAGTGGGAGTGGGGGAAAGGAGACTGGAGATTTATTTCGTAATCAAGATTCAAGCTATCACCTTTTCATTTACAAATTTTCAATTTTTTCATGTGGATGTGCTGTTTTAGTAGGATTACATTATAATGATGCAATTACCTTTATCAGGCTTCTTGTGTTTCATATTCACTCATTTTAGATTCTGAGCGTGTTTCTCGAGCATCATATATACAGATCTAGACGAGTCTTCTATATGAATGTAGATGAAAGAAATACTATTTTTTTTTTTTTTTTAAAAAGGTGAATACCAAATTGATACTGAAGAGAGAATGTTTGCAACCTGTGAACCCCATCTCTGTGAGGACGGAGAATATACTCCAGAAATATTGAGGAATTGCTTCTGAAGATTTTTATGAAGTAATTGTTGTCTTATATGTGAACAACATCCAGGATTGGGGATTGTCTTATAGTTAACTATGCACTAACAGATGCTTAAATTAACTCATTTTTTAGGTCAAGGAGGTTATCATTTCCTTCTTTATATTGATGGAACAGGGCAACGCTACTAGGCAGGTATGGTCCACTTCATCCTCTTTCTATTTTTTTTATTGCTCTAGATTATTGGAGGACAGAATCTTCCTTGCACCATTTTTTAGGTATAACTTTGTTATACTGTGAAACAGGATTTGGATTTGCGTTGCGAGGAACTGATTAAAGAAGAGTTCGGTGAGAGCTGTAATTTTGATGTGGATGATGCAGTTGAAAAGTTGGAGAAGCTGGGCATTGTTGCTCGGGTAAGAAACAGTTCTCCTGACTGAACTTGGTAGATCTAAATTGGAATTTGCAAATTTATCTTAGCTAAAATGAAAACTTTTCCATGCACACGCTTACAACTGATGTTGACATCACTCCCCATATAGACATCCTATAAGGATCGGTTGGATAAGCAGGGCTTTTTTGCATCATCTGAATAAGCTGTTAAAAGATCCTGTTACCCAACCAAAGTCTTTCAATTTATTGAGCCTGCAGATCGTTTTTATGGAGTTATACTAAAACATAGGACCATAAGGAAATGGACCTATATATCTGAAAGATGATTGGATCAAAAGTTAAATGGAAATCAGTCAAGCATCAAACTGGACATGGTGCCTTTGGAAGACACCTTTTTTGAAAATCATGCACACTAACAATGCTACGTCTAGTAATTTTTTGAATTTTAGAACATTTTTGCTATTGGATAAAACCACTCCTTGGACCAGGCATGAATTTTTGGTGCTATCTTCTGTGTGCGCAAGTTGCTATCGGTTTCTTTTGATCAGGAAGTAAATTTTTCAATACAGGATTCTCTCGGACGGTATTTCTGTGTTTCGCTAAAACGTGCTAATGAGATTATTGGCACTACAACTGAAGAGCTCGTTCTCAAGGCACAGCAGGGTGTTATGACTAATCCTTGATGCTGACTGTGGAAAGATGCGTTTTCCTATCCACCACCTGTTTCAATCCAGCCTCTTTCTAGGTCTAATAGCTCAAATAGTTATCTGCAGTTGTCAGCTGTTCTTACAAGCATCGCTGGTCAGAACTTGGATGTCCTATTTTACCTGACTGCTTTCCCTATTTCGAGCTCCAGTTTCCTTTTACATCAATGCAAGTTAGAGACGTGAAGCAAAGAACTCCTCTGGGGAGGGAGGACAAGGGGTGCCAGTGGTGCCTGGAGCTCATTGGCGCTTCAGTTCTGTTAATATTTGTAAATGTTGAATGCCTGCGACTTCTCAAATCCCGAGGAAGGTAGTTTTTGCATGGTTTCGGCTTTTGTTGAATGCTTTTTATACTTGCTCATAAAACCGTTGTGGGCTTAAATACTTTCATGGTGCTTGGCTATTGTCTTCGCGGCCATCTGCATATAATTGAAGTAAAAGATGAACGAAATTTCCTTTCCAGTTTGGTCTTTGCTTTTATTTACATTTGGGTATCGGAAAAACTCTGAATATGGCACAGAATTCTTCATCAATTGAGCTGAAACGCCAAATATATTTATCCTTGTCATCCGAGAATAATCGGTGAAAAAAATGATTTACAAACAAATTTTTACACTGAATTGTCAGACATGTAATCCAAAGTTGTTTAAATATTTTTCGAATATAGGATTGTTGTTCAACAGAGTGTAACCCGTATCATGCAAAATCCTGTAGTAAAACACTAGTTATGAGTCATCACAACAGAGCTTGCAAAACGCAGCTATTCCCTCAAACTAGAAACCATATCCACGTTATCAATTAAACCATCTCAGGTTACTAGAGATGATTTATATATAATTGTTGATTTATATATAATTGTTAATTTTAAGATTTATATATCATTGTTAATTTTATAAAAAAAATTAGTTAAGATACATTCGAACATCCATACATCTATGTTAAAAAAAAAGGGTACTAAATATCCAATCTAATGTTACGACAGAATCCTCAAAACAAAAGGGACAAGTGGCCGGCATACATTTTCCCGCCGAAGAGAGCGGGCGGTGGCATTCATTCTCCAACCCCTTAGATTTAAAGATATATAATTAATTAAGGCATTCGTTTATCAAATAAAATATATTGTTTATCTCTAATCATAATCATAATGGGGAAGAAGAAGAAGAAAGACATAATACACTTGGAGAAGGAATCTGTGATTCCAATTCTCAAGCACAAGCTCATTGCTGCCTTAGCAAACCGCATTAGTATTGGTCTGTTTAATTCAATTTCCCATCTTTTTTTTTCCTTATCAATGCAATGCATGGATGCATGGATTCCAATTTGGGTTGGTTCATTCACAGAACGTAGCAGATCTGACGTTGATGAGTTCCTGAAGCTCTGCCAGAGAGTTGAATACACAATTAGAGCTTGGTACCTTTTGCAATTTGAAGATCTCATGGTAACATTATTAATTGGTGAAAGCGTTATACAACTCAAATCTTTAGTTTGTTTCTTTAAAGAAATTTGTCTTCGGTGATCAGCGATTGTATTCCTTCTTCGAGCCTATTCATGGTGCTAAAAAACTGGAGCAGCAGAATCTCACTCCTGAAGAAATTGATGTTTTTGAACAGAATTTCTTAGCCTCCTTATTTCAGGTGTGTATTTCCTGCAACTACACTTCAAAGATTTAAGAACAAAAAACAGAAAATGGCACGATTCCATGGCACTTTCCCACCTCTTTCTAGCAAATAAAAATGATGTAAAAATCGTAACCAATACTTGAATCTAGCACGTCCTTTTCATGATCTAGTTGTTTATTCTTTGCAGGTAATGGAAAAGAGTAATTTCAAAATTGCAACCGATGAGGAGATTGAAGTCGCACTCTCTGCACAATATCGGCTTAATCTACCAATTGTGGTTAATGAAAATAAGGTCCATCTGTGCTCCGGCCTCTTACGCACACATCTATCCATCGCTAGTTTAGAAGTTTGATGATATTATAATGGCATTCTTGAATGCAGCTTGACAAGAGGCTTTTTACGAGTTACTTTGCAGAGCATCCTCAGGATGACCTTCCATGCTTCGCTGATAAGGTAAATGCTAAATTCCGGCTTGAATATTTCTGAGATACAAGGGATTTTCATTCTTTTTCTTTAAATTTTTATGTTTGATGATTTCATTTTTTGAGTAAAGCAATTTTTTCCCACAACCTCACGACAAAGAATCATTGCTTATTTTTCCGTAGTTCATAATCTTTCGACGCGGCTTTGGAATTGATCGTTTGAATGGTTACTTTATCACGCCGAAGATAAATACCATCATTTCCCGTTTCTGGAGATGTTTTCTAAAAGTAACAGGGTAAGTAGATGTTTGCTTGTATTATATGCAAGAAAACCTTGATTTTCAAGCTTGGTTCTTTATTTTCTCTAATACGAACTTTAATTTTCTGTGTGTAGGTTAAAAAGACTTTTCTTCAGAAAGCGAAATGCGCATATTACCGAAGTTCCAAAATCTATTGAAATCAGCATGGATAACAGTGATGAAGGTTTATATGTTGAACGAATCCGCATCGAGAAAATAAAACTCAGGTTAGGAACTGGAAGTTAAGTCTGAATTTGATTTATCAATCGGTTTGAGGTATTCACAACCGGCACTCTTCATGTGCTTCTATTTTTCATATTTTTGGCTAATATTTGAAGCAATAACACTCTAAATAAATTCTGAGAAGCAAGGAGGAATATGCAACAGAAGTACCTTAGGCTTATATATTGTTCTATCTGCGTTCTCTCGGTAGTCATGCTAACATTGGATGGCTCAAGGTGCAGTGGCATTTTATTTTCCTTAATCCGTGTGAATAATAGATGGAGTGAGGATTTTATGTCAGTTATACCCATTAATGGATATAAATAAATGCGTTGTGATTGCTGAATCTTCTGAGCATTTAAGAGAATGAATGAACGATTGCCCTGATCACCTGGAAGGAGCATATATTTTGCTGAAGTTACTTTCTAGATTTCTGACGATTCTTGCTGATTTTTGACATTTCTCTTCTTTTCCTGCAGCGTATCTAATCTCCTGGGCAAGGTTACAATCCAAGAACCTACATTTGATCGAATAATTGTTGTTTACAGGTGTATTCATCATATACATTCTTTATCCTGTTTTTTTTTTGTTCAATTCTGAGCAATGGTCAGGGTGATTGTACAGAACCATATTCCTCAGTTACTAATAATCAGTTTGCGATGTTTCTCATTGTTGGTGTGAGCATGAGAAGTAAGAAAGAGAACATCATTCTTACATAACTAGTGAATTAGGATTAGCATGAAGATCTTGTTTATCCTAATTAGTTCACTTAATTTACGTTCTTCTATTACAGTTTTAAGAGAGCATGAAGAATGAATCATTGTTGTTTAAACTAACGTAAATCTGCAGGCGAGCGAGTGCTAAAAAAGAAAGAGCACGGAATATTTCTGTGAAGCATTTTAAGAGTATTCCAATGGCTGATATGGAGATAGTACTTGTGAGTTCCCTGTTCACTTGCAGTCTTGTTGTTATCATCATCGTTGTTGTCATCGTAATTGTTTGGGGGGCGAGGGCGGTGGGAGGGGGCTAGGAGCTTCTCAGAAATGTTTCTGAATATTGACCTTGTGCTGGAACTCTCCTTTAACAGCCAGAAAAGAAGAATCCCGGTTTAACTCCAGTGGATTGGGTTAAGTTCATTGTTTCTGCTGTGATTGGACTGGTCAGTCTTAGCATATCCGTGAATTTAATGAATACCCTTTTCTTTGTTTTAACCTTCTGGTCATGTTAGCCTTGCGTTCCTTTTTTCATTTTGCAGATTACTGTAATTGGTTCGCTTAGCAATCCTAAAGCTGACATCCGGGTGATTCTCGCTATCCTGACATCAGTGGTTGGTTACTGTGTTAAAACATACTTCACGTTAAGTGTCTTCTTCTTTATAATCCTTATCATTCTTGTAGTAATAGAGAATCGGTATCCATACAGAATTTCTACTAAGCAAGCATTCAGTAAAAATGTTACGTGCTGAGGCAATCTCTCATCCGATAGGCATGGGAGGAATTTATTTAGAATTCTTGCCCATAATGCTTATTGACCTTACTTTACAGTGGGACTTTCTCAGAGACAGAAGGAACATTGAAGAACGACTAGGGTGGTCAACTGATTAGGAAATATCTGGTGCGAAAGGGTCCATGACATGCACTCATTCCAAGGCCATGAGCAATTTAGTTATGAAGACTAACCTTTTTCTGTTTCCTGCAGATTCCAGAATAACTTGGTTTCGTATCAGAGCCTAATCACACAGTCTGTGTATGATAAACAACTGGACAGTGGAAGGGGTACTCTTCTTCACTTGTGTGATGATGTGATTCAACAGGAAGTAAGTTTTTGGCTAATCAATTTATAATTTATATCCAAATTTACATAGTCGTAATTTCTGAAAGATTCTAGTACGTTTATTCTTTGAGTTTTGAATCTGTGCACAACTAAAATTTTGAAGAGCTCTGCTCTCAATGGAAATTGCACAGAACAAAAAACTTATCATTCTGCCACCTTTCTTGTGCAAAGACAGCAGCATTCTTGTTGAAAATTAATTTACAACAGTAACTAGCAGTTTTGAAAAACAATGTTTAGGTATTATTTAATGCTAACAGAACCCAATAATTTGAATATGCAGGTAAAAGAGGTGATTGTTTCATTCTTTATCTTGATGGTACAAGGAAAAGCCACTAGACAGGTACAGATTACCTTACAGAAGATTGTTTCCTCTCCTTGCTTTTATGATCTCTGTATGTTGGAAGATTCCTTAGGGCAGGGCGTTGCTGGTTCATAACTTTGCATTGATCTGAAATAGGAACTTGACCAGCGTTGTGAAGAACTCATTACTGAAGAATTCAATGAAAAATGTAATTTCGATGTGGATGATGCACTCCAAAAGTTGCAGAAGTTAGGAATTGTTGCTAAGGTGAACTTTTTTATGTTTTCAAATTAGTTGAGACATCATTCTATCAGTGTGTTTCCCAGATATAATTTTCGGTAATTCAATAATTGACAAGAGAAAGTTGAAATCAGGATCCTGCCGGAAAGTACGCATGCACAGACTTGAAGCATGCTAATGAGATAATCGGAACCACAACAGAGGAGTTGGTGCTCAAAGCCAACCAAGGTGATAGCAGTTTTGGACGCTGAGGTGGAGGTGAAGCTCTTCTGATATTTGAGAAATCTAAAGCATCGATGCACTAGGCTAGCTACCTGATCATTTGGCTCACGAGTTTCTTCATGCATGCCAAACTCAGGTGCCAACTTTGGCTTACTTTTTTCCTTGGGGGGTTTAAAAACTTCCCTAGACATTAAAATGAATGTTTCATACTTTAGGCACTAAAAAGAAACGAAAGGAAAACCAGAAATCTCCATGGCAGTCAAGTTTGAATTTGAGCTTCAAATACCATACAGCAGTTTCTTCCGACCACCATAGCAGTTAGGGTAGCCAGCACCGGAAGCATGATTCTCTTCATATTGTATTCGATGTATGTGAGGTGGTTGAATTGGCAAGACGGAAATGGTTTCAACTTTTCCAAGTGTGCTTGAATTCCCAGATCTCATTAAATGATTATAAACAAAGGGGATGAAAATGTTTCAGCAAACCCACCACACAGAGCTATGCGTCCATAATTCATCACAAGAAACGATTTTAGTTGAGCACTAACCATCCACATGCTATCAATTAACTCATACCAATTGAAAAAAAAAAAACGATCCATTTCTTCATACTACGACCATCTTGTAAGGACAAGAACCCTGTACAATGCTCCCATTTGTGTACCGCTCGTCACAGTTGAAGGTTCCGTATGCTTTAGTACCTCAAAAAGCTGTGAAGTAATTCTGCAAGAATTAAAAAGGATAGTGAATTTTTTTCAATAGGTTAAGGGAATGAAAATCTAGAGTGTTCAAACTACTTGGATTACAGAAAAATATTAAAGCAATGAGATCAAGGACACCATACCCAACATTAATTCTGGAGATGATCGTCAAACCATAATCCAGGCAACAAAAGTTCCAAGGGAGCGTCATCTGTCAACAACCCAAACCAAAATCTGACACGATGTTAATCCTAGATTTTAGTTCCTGCGACTTTGATGCATGCCTGGTAGAATCAGAAAATCTAGGATCTGTCATCATTGCAAAAGGCTTGTTTTTTTTTTTTTTAAAAGGCATCCGATGGACATAAAAATAAAGAAAGTGACTAACCTCAAGATATGTGTGATGCCCCATATCCCACATGCGTTGTGAGGAATTTGAATGGTATCTAAATAAGCACCTATGCACAATACTGAGTTGGCTTAATGGAGTCTAGTCAGTCTAGGATTCTATAGGTGGTTCTCACCCCCTCCGAGGGTGTATAGCACTTTGTCCTAATCCTGTCAGGTATAAGCAGCAGCCATGTCTGCCCATCTCACTCCCGTGTTGGAAGCCTGAGATCCTTTCAGGAATTGCTGTTACAGTTTCTCCAGGTCCCACTTCAGAGATGGCAGCACTGAAATTAAGTCAACTGTGCTTCAGGATTTTATCTATTCCAGTTTCTCAAGAACCTGCTTCATCGATGGCAACACTGATTGAAACTGATTCTGCAGTGCATCTTGAAGCAAGCTTCATGGTTTTAGTTGTTTCAGTTTTTCAAGGACCTGCTTCATGGATGGGCGCACTGAAAGTGAGTCTACTGTGCAGCTTGAAGCAAGCTTTAACATTCCCAACAAATTCTCATCAGGTCCTGCTTCCCACAGTTCTGGCACGAAGAGCTCTGAGGAGCGTCTCTCCTTGATCAACAACTTGGCCCAAGCAACAATATTGAAACCGTTACCATACTCAGAAAATGATGGATCAAGAGACTTCTTCCCTGACATCAATTCCAACAACACAACCCCAAAGCTATAAACATCTGACTTGTCAGATACCCTGCACGTGGTTGCATATTCTGGTGCAACATACCCAAATGTGCCTGCTACATCTGTAGTGGCATGGGTCTGAGAAACTTCTAAAAGTTTGGCCAACCCAAAGTCAGACAGATAGGCGTTAAGCTCCTCATCCAACAGGATGTTACTAGGCTTGATGTCACGATGAAGAATGCGGGGTATGCATGAGTAGTGGAGGTAGGCTAGAGCTTGTGCAATATCAAGAGCTATCTTGTGAATCACTGGCCACTGTACATTTGTGTCTGGCCTGTCATGAATGAAGGTTTCAAGGTTTCCACCAGAAAGATAGTTGTAAATTAAGAACATTTCAGCCTCTGCCACATAATACCCAATCAGAGTCACAAGGTTCTTGTGTCGAATTCTGCCCAATGTTCTGATCTCTGCGTCAAACTGTTGAATGCCTTGAAATCTGCCAATGGAGAGCCTCTTTACAGCTATGAAGTAACCTGGGACCAATTCAGCTTTGTAAGTTGACCCAAAGCCACCTGTACCTATCAGGTTTCTCATACTGAAATTCCCAGTAGCTCTGACCACACTATCATAAGTCAATTCAGCGGGAGCATCTGCAAAAGTCACAACTACTTTTCCCCTCAAGCTAGAGAGTCTCCAAGACTTTTTCTTGCCATAAACACTGAACAAAACTACAACCAATGATACACAGAGTACAAATGAAGCAGAAGTCACCACTGCAATCAAAAAGGATTTCTTTCTGTGATTGCGCCATTTTCCATCTCCATGTGACAGCTGAACATCTCCAGGTGGTGTGTTGAAGGATTGATCCGAGCACTTATCCAAAAAAGTATTCCCTCTAAACCAATCACAATCAATCGGGTGTTGAAGGTGGGGTATATGACCAGAGAGGTTATTGAAAGAAACGTTTAGGACAACGAGACTGGAAATATTCGAGAAAGGTGGAGGTATCTCCCCAGAAAGATCATTGTTATTGAGCAACACAATCTCCAGGTTCTTAGCGCTAGTCAAACTCACAGGTATAGATCCTGTTACAGCATTATGAGAAAGATCCAAAACTGTAAGAGAGGACAATTGACCGAATTCAGATGGAATTTCTCCTGTTAAATTGTTCATTCCAAGAAGAACTGATTTCAGAAACTTCAAATTTCCCAACTCATTAGGAAGAGAACCAGAGAGTCTGTTTCTTCTCAAGTCTAAACATCGAAGCATTCTCAAGTTGCCAATACTGGGAGCTAGAAAACCACTGATCTCATTATCTGCTGCTTCAAATTCCCTTATTGGTAGACAACTGAGAAGCTTATCTGGTATCCCACCTGATATATGGTTCGTACTCAAGTTAACAGAGAAACTCAGCAGATCATTACAGTTTGAAACTAGTTTACCAGGAAGAGACCCGGTAAACCCGTTACTACTCAGTAACAATCTGTATGAAGTTCTATTTTTACTCACCAAGAATTGTTCTCCCACCGAGAACAAAGGCAATGAACCGACAAAATGATTCCAACTGAAATCATGGACAATCACGAAGTCTGCACCGGCCATGGACCCCAAAAGGGTATGGGAACCCCAAACAGGAATGTTAGCGTATGCAATCTGTATATCCTCCACATCAAAAAAGTTAGGATCTTGACCATAAGAGATTATGCTAGTATCACAACTGCCCTTTCCAAATGTTGGAACAGCACCGGATATGTTATTCTGACTAACATTGAAATACATCATGCAAGGAACTTGCAGCTTCATAGGCAGGTCACCAGTCAAGTAATTAGAACTCAGATCCAAGAAAGTAAGGTTCTTGCACATCACCAGCCCCTCTGGCACAACACCTCTGAGAGAATTCTGCCCCAAATGCAAAACTCTCAGCGAGCACGAGTGACTCCAATTGCCAGGCAACCGCCCATCAAGATTGGCCCTAGGCGCCCACAAAATCTGCAAACTCGGAAGCATCAACACCTCCTGAGGAACACCCCCTTCAAAAGCATTGAATTCTAATCTAAAACCATCCAAGCTACCACCAGTCCCCACATTATCACCAACAAAATTACTTGAATTAGTCAATACAAGAACAGACAGTTTCCTGCAATGACCCAACTCCTTGGGGATGGTCTGAGTCAAACTGTTAGTAGAAACATCAAGAACGCGAAGTTCCGGAATCTGACCTATCTGTGCTGGAATGGGACCTTGTAGAATGTTCCCATCAAGCAACAAAGTTCTCAAATTCTTGCAATGTCCAATATCCTTTGGAATATTATTTTCCAAGAGATTATTAGAAAGCTTCAAGTGCCTTAAAAACAAGCACTTACTTGAACTAACAAGTTGCATTCCACCAGTCAGTCTATTATTCGACAAATCAATAACTCTCAACTTTCCAAAACCAATCAAAGTAGCAGGGATATCACCAGTGAAAGAATTAAAAGACAAATTAAGGAAGCGAAGAGAGTGGAGATCAGTGCTTATCTGTTGAGGAATCTTGCCCGAAAAATTGTTCCCTTGAAGCTCCAAAACCTCCAAGAAGCTCAGCTTGGCGATACTACTAGCTGGGATCTCACCAGAAAAACAGTTGTGAGAAAGGACAAGAGTTCGCAGGTAGGGCAAGTTTTGGATGGACTCCGGCAGAGTTCCAGAAAGGCGAGTAGTGGAAGTGCCAGAGAAGTTCAAGGCTATAACTACTACTTCTGTTGTAGTGTTAGAAGATTTTTGACAGGTGACACCATACCAGGTGCAGTAATCAGGTTTGGTAGTCAGGTTCCAGGAGGAGAGAAGATTTGAAGGGTCCCCGAGAATTGAATTCTTGAAACTTAAGAGAGTACCGCCAGCTGAGTCATTAAAAGAGAGAGCTTCAGCTGAAAATGTTGCTGCTAAGCCACCAACAAAGAGAAACCAGGCCGCTGCTACTGCTACCATTGTTGACTTTTGAGTGATTTTACAGATTTGAAGAAGAGATGGGATGGGATTGATTGTTGGATGGATCTAGAAGAAGTGGGGAGCCGGGGAGAGCAAGATGAAGAAGAAGAACTCTATACTCCCTTCTTCGCAGGAACAAGACAAGAAAAGCCGGCGTAAGCCACGGGGTTGGCTTTAGTTTTGTTTCTGTACTTTAATACCTTGTTTTCTTGTCTTTGCTTTGTCACCCGACATGCACCGCTGCCATCTCATAATTTGAAATTAGTCAAAAAAAGTTTCAGAAAGAAACCTTCAAATTTCAATAGCCTTTGGATTTCGATAATCAATCCCATTTATATCCTCACCACTGTTTAATTAATTGCTGGTTTCAAAAAATCAGCCATGCCTCTCGGTAAGGGTTAGGGTTGAAGTTTTTTTTAATAATGATAAATATTTTTTATTTAAAAATATATTAAAATATTTTTTTAATTTTTTAAAATTTATTTTAATAACAACACATTAACATGATATAAAAAGAAACAAATTGAAATAAAAAATTGAAATTTTTTATATGTGAGTAATTAAATAGTGTAAGAGTAATTGATACGGGCAAATTATTAGAGATGATGACAGGCACGAGGTAGGACAAAATCCATAGCACTTCAGTCATAGAATTTGATCCATGTTCATATCAAGGTTTTCAATTCCATTTGTAGTTTTGCACTCATTGATGCTTGCGAGTTTATGGCAATTCTCTGTTTGTCACTCACAGGACTGCATGCAAGTCGTCGATAGGCAGTGAGGAACGGCATCTGGAAAAAGCTCCTGGTTCTGTCTCTGTTTCACTCTGCTCTTTTGGAGGCCATAGCTTCAACAAACTATGATGGTGGACAAGGAGCTGCTGTCGTCAACTTTTTTATTTTTTATTTTAAACTTTATATTTAATTTTTAAAATTCTTGATACAATTGTTGCGGATCTTCTCAGCAAATGTTCTTTGTGTTTGCTGCTATGGTGTGGGGTATTTTTTATTTAAAATATATTAATTTTTTTTTATTTTTAGAATTAACACATTAAAATCATAAACAAAACAATGAAAAAATCAAAATTTTCTAAGAAAAATTAATTTTTAAAACAGCTTTCAAAAGCACGAATTCTGTGCGTTCAGATCATCCATATGCGTACTCAAAATGTTCCTCCTCGTTTGCATTACATCATCTTACGTGAAGAAGAAAAAAGAGCATCTGGAGAGGCTTTTGGTGTTCAGAAATGGATGCGATTGAGCGTCGAGATGTCTGCGCATGAAAGGACTTTCTGGGACTGTGATTTCTCCTTGACTGGAAGCCTGTTGGATCGAAATGACTGCAGCTATCCTGCCGTCCTTTTCATTTGACTCTCTGAGTCTCTCTTTCCAAGAACAACACTGTGGCTTGAAGGTATTTTCGGTATGCATTCATGGCTCCAAGAAATAAAATCTCACATTTTAACACTCTCATTCCATTTTATTTTATTTATACGAGTATTCACAATTTTTTATTTTCTTGCATGTTTATTTCTTATTCTTACAGATTTGCACTCACGTTTATAGCTTTATAATAAATGGTTGGTTTACAACTTTTGCTGTAATTTTTTTTGGACCGTTTATTTTATTTAATTTATATATTTTTATATAACTTTTTTTACGTGGAACCACCAAACAGGTGATCAGCTGGTAAGTGTTATTTTAGATTAATCCAGGGATTTTTATGTTATTTTTATAATTAAATATTTTATAAATTTTAATATTTAATATTAAATTTAATATAAAAAATTGATAATTAAATTTTATAATTTATTTTTATTTATTTTTTTAAATTATCTTAGTCTCATAATTAAAATTATAAATTTAACATATTAACTCAAATTAAATCATATTATTTTTTATTTATTTTTTATATGAGGTTATCTCGGTCCTATAACCTGAATCATGAGTTTGACGACTCAAATTATTTTTATATATTTTTATTAATTTATTAATTTTATTTTTTAATATTAAACTTAAAAAATAAACTAATTAAAATTGAGATTTATAATTTATTTTGATTTATTTTTTAAAATTTTATTTTAATTTTATGACTTGATTTATATATGTTTGAAAAGTTAACTCAAATTTTTTTAATTAAATTATTTGAAAATTAAATTTAATAATTGTAAACATAATTCCATCTGTTATATATTAATATTAAAAAATATATTATCTTCAAATTATATTTTTATAAATTGCTTAAACCCATAAAATTAACCGTATTTCACTAAATAAACTTATATATAATTTAATTTTTTTATTTAAAAAAAAGGCAACATTTAAACTTTTGTTTTCACATTGAAGGAAAATTTAACTCTACATGCGCGGGGAAAAATAAGATTGTGAAGAAAATAGAGCAGTCGCTGTATATAACGAGTACAAGCACTCCTCAGTTGGCTGTTGGAGAAGGCGCGAGAGAGAAGGTCGCTGGAAAAAATAAGATTGTGCATGGCATCTGGGTTTTGTCTTTTGTCTTTTGTTTTGTCCTTGTGACTATACAAGGTAAAGTTCTTCACTTTTTCTTTGAAGTTGTACATGGCATCCGGATTTTGTTTGGTTTTGATGGAAGTAACTTCCTTTTTCTGAAAGATTTGAAAGAGATTGTATGTGTAAGTTTTTGTTTTCATTTTCTAGCTTTATAAAAAATACTTTCTTCCTTAAAATTTATGTTCTGAATTGGTTCTTGATTAGAAATCTAGCGTCTTTTTTTTTTTTGGCCAGACTGTAGTGGAGCAAATGGCAATGACACTAAACAATGGATTCCAGATGCTAATAATTGGCTTAGGTGTATGGCGGGTGGAAGGGAAAGAAATCAGAAACCTCATTATTAATCCTATCAAGCTTGGCTACCGTCATTTTGATTGTGTTGGTACCTCTCTCCCTTACTCTTTCTTGTTTTTTATCACTTTTTTTTTCTGGGTTCATGGTTTGATCATCATTGCTTTGAAAGTATAATAGCATTTTTGGGTTCTTGATTGATGAAATCCACATGGGTTTTGCTAGTTATCAATAGAGTTCTTGTCTTTGTGGAAAATGAGGAGCCTTGCTTGATTTTATTGCTTTTTCTTAAATAACTAGCATGTTTAGAAAATTGGAGGCAATCGGTTTATTTGGTAAATTTTGCTTTGAGGAGTTTCTGTTTTGTGGTTGCAGCTGATCACAAGAGTGAAGCAATAATAGGGGAGGTGTTAGAAGCTTTCAAAACTGTGCTTGCTAAGAGGGAGGATCTTTTCATTACTACCAAGGTTTAGTTTAATCACAGATTTTAACACTCGCATGATCTCATTCTGGTTTATTATTGAGTGATTATGCATGATGGTGGTTGTTTATCTTGCTTTCCGCCTGGTTTTCAGCTATGGAATTAAGATCATGGACATGTTGTTGAGGCCTGCAAGGATAGTTTAAATAAGCTTTAGCTTGATTATATTGGTCTTTACCTTTTACACTTTGCAGTATCCACCAAGCATGCTTGTGTGTAGTTTGATAATCTGATCAGCTGGAGGTTCTTACGATGAACATAGGAAATGGCTTGCAGAGCCGACAAAGAGTTGCGATTAAACATTGTCTATTTCATTGCTTAGATGGTGCTCCTTCTGAACATGTTTTTTAAGATTTGACACATTCAATTTCTTGGGAAACATGGATAAAATAGCAACGAGGATTTCTCAGCTTGCAGTTCTAGCTATCATAGAAATGGTTTTGCTGCCTCCTCTGCATAATACATGGGGTGAGGGGGAATCAAAACAAATGGAAGATAGGACATGTAAAGTGGGATCAATTAGCAAATTATTAGATGCATGAAAGTTATTTAATCAAATGCTATGCTTGAGTAGTCATTTTAATTTATATTTTGAACTTTTTTTTATGTAAAAAACACATCAAAAAAGCTTATATATCCGGTATTTTTATATAAAAAAAATGTATATCTCACACCAGTTAAATAGCTAGTTTATATGAAAACAAGGTTTTAAAGTATTTGATGCCTCAGATTGCTTTGGTTAATGCAATTTCACTTGAGTAATAACTTGCAATGGAATCAAAAGTTTTCATTTCCCTGAAGCGAGGCCAATTTCATTTTCATTGATCTAGTAAAAAAAACAAAAAAATTAAAATTTCTCATGATTGAAAGCTTGTTCTTTCTTGTGAGTTCGATCTTCAAAAAGAATAAAGATAAAGGCTTGGGCCCATGAAATAAACTTCGTAGCTCCACCACTACTTGGGTCGCATCGCCTTTAGGTCCGGTCTTCTACCTTTCCCTCTCGAGGTTTTTTATTGTTAAATTTTTTCCTCAGAATTGGAAAAACAAACCATTATTTGTAATTCCCCACACAACCCTTTTCAAGAAAGGTTTATGATATATTTCTTGCTTTTGGATTAAAGATAAATATCCAGTAATTATTATAATTTTATAAAATTTAAATTTATTTTTTATAATTTTTTTATAATCTTATAACTGGGATGGTAAATTTAATATAATTTAATCCAATATATTATATTTTTTATTAATTGAAAAAAAGTAAATGATGATATTCTTAATGCTTTTAAATGATTTTAATATACTAAAATTAAAATTAAAATTAATATATATATATATATATATAATTTAATATATTTTCAAAAATATTCTCTACTAGGATTTCAAAAATCCTCCACGTTGAAGTAGGAGTGTATTATATTTTTTATTAATTGAAAAAGCATTCAATTGATAATATTCTTAATGCGTTTAAATGATTTCAATATACTAATATCAAAATTAAAATTAATATATATATAAAAAATTAATATATTTTCAAATAAAAAACTATTTTAAAAAATATTCTCCACAAAATTTCAAAGATTCTCCACGTTGAAGTAGGAGCAATGTCAACATAGCTGTCTGGTGGGGATAGCAACCCCGCATCTCCACTTCATCTTTCTTTCTTTTATTCTCTGTATAATTATTGTATATATACACAAGCTGAGTCAGTACATGCCTGCAGACTCTACTCTGATGTACTATTATTTGTTTACTGTACAATATTATATACGTATAAAAACTTATTTTGTTGTATAAAATATAAATTCCATCGTAGCTGGTCTTCGTTCTAAGCTAACCGAGGCATTTATTATATTGTTGATTTATTTATGAGAAAACCCAAATCTAGCCCCTAAGGTATGATCCAATTATCTATCGAGTCTCAAACTTTTTTATTTTACTAATTTCATCCCAAACACAATCAACATTACTACATTAGCCCCGCCCTCATCGTCCCATTGTCAATGTCATAAGATTTACATGTGATCATTGAATGCTTCCATACAAAGCACTGAAAGAAACATAACATCAAAGTATATTGTTTTTATTTTTTTATTTTATTGTTGGTTTTAAGTATTAACTGCTATTTAAGATGTTTATTTTATTTTATTTTATAAAGTATATTATTTTTTTTTATTTTATTGATGATTTTTAATATTAACTGCTATTTAAAATGCTTCTTTTATTTTTTTTAATGCATGCAAAATTAGATCGGGATTGATGCAAGTAAAAGCTAAAAAACAATACCAAATAAAAAATATATAACTTTTAATAAGCAAAAAATAATGTAGATATAAACTCTAAATTTATATGGTTATTCTCTTTAAAATAATAATAATAAAGTTTGTTCTCTTAGAAGGTTTATAAAGTTTTTAACAGGCCATAGTTTCTATCTTAATTAAAAAATAAAAATTTAAAATTTAAAATAATAAGGAAATACCAATAGAATCTAAAACAAACTCTGAAAAAATAAATTGAAAGATCTAATGATAACAATAACAACTCTATAGCTATTCTAAAAAAGATAATATTTGAATTTTTTTATAAAATTTTAATTATGATTCAACAATTAAATAAAAAATTAAAATTTTTAAGTTATTATTATAATCTGGTGGAACCAAATTTCTTAAACGTAGATTTATCATACTAAATTATAAATATACTTATTAGATTATCTATATATTTTATATAGAGTTAATTTTCATTTAATTATAATAGATCTAGAAGCATCCGCTATAAAAAGCACGAATGATAATTGCAAGTCTAGTCGCCAACAATGGACGGACGGATGGATGAACAACGTTGATTATCATGTTTGAAGACAGATAAAATGAGAAGGGTTGTTTATGAATCCTCATTAATCTCGTTGTTTGTCGTGGTTGTTGTCGCATAGTACCTGTAGTGAATCTGTCGCAGACAGACAGCTGCAGGAAAGATGGGACGAGATGAGAAGGGCATCCATGTACAGGGACTAACTAGGGCATACAAGATAAATCTCTTCTTACAACTTGCAGCAGCTAGCAGACAACAATTATACTGCTTTACACCCCCACACCAAAATAAACGACAACGAAGCCCTCTGGGAATTTCTAAAAAAATTCATTTTTTATTAAAAATAAAATTTTCTATATATTCTGAATCATTGTACTAATTCTAAAAATAAAAAAATATTATTTTAATATATTTAATATTTTTAAAAACAATCGTAACTATTCTACTACAATCAATCGAAACAATATTATTTTTTTTTTATTATTATTATTATTATTATTAAATATCTCCCTCTCTCTCCCTCTCACAGTCTGTCTATTTCTTATTCATCTTCATCGTCATCTTCTTTCCTTCTTCTGTTTTTTATTTTCTTGATATTATTAATTACGTCAAGACTTTTTTCAGTAAGAATATAGGGTTTTATTTATTCATTTAATTAAATATTCTTTGTTGTATGCAATAAAGAATTATTTGTGATTTAGACTTTTTAGAGTGATGGAGTTTTGTGTTCGAGTTTGGTAGTGAGGGTGAGGGAGTAATAGAAGGAAGAAGTAATAAACCACCTCTTCCCTGGTCGCGTTGTCGGCGCGAGGTCACTTTCTGTCGGCAATGTCTGTACTGTATCCAACGATGATTCTCAACTTTATTATTTATTAATATTATTTTTAAAGGGAAAAGGTACGGCAAGCTGCTGATTGGTCTCAGATTTTTCCTTGCTTAATCAGTCGCAGTTTGTTTGTTGTAGACCACACCTTGAAGCTGTGTTCATCTTCACAACGGGGGTTGGTTTGTTTGTTTGTTTGTTTGTTTTTTTGAGAATTTGTTGCTGGGAATGTGGGGTGATTTTTTAATTTGGTGATTGTGCTATTGGAACCCTGACTCGATTTGTCACTGGCAAATGAAGCTGAGGTTTCTGGGGATTGGCTGCATAATTTATCTGTGAATACAGGTTTGGAGATTTCAGATTCCATTGATTTTCATGTCTTTCGTTCTTTTTAATCTCAAGGAGTTTCAGTTTTGACACATTTCTCGTTTCTTTTCCTAGTCTGCCAAGTAGCATTTGTCGGTTCTCAATGAATTTGATAGTGTGTTTAATTTAATTAGTTAGGGTTTAACCATATGATTAGAATACTGGAGATTTCCTCTCGAAGGTTACTATTTTTCATTAATGCATTTGTCTTTGCTTCCTTTACCTATTGGGATTCAACTTTTCGCGCAGCTCACTTATTTTAAACAGAAATTGTCTTTATGGTTGACTTGAAAGAAGATCTTTTTCAGGGACTAGATGACTGTTTGACTAAACAAAATATCAATTCCTGCACCAATGTCGTTGCGTTATGTGTTTCTGTCATCCATGGTTATATGGATTATTGAATGCTGCTTGTTTATGAGGTGGCATTTTCTTTTCTTCATTATTGCTTATCGGCCTTTCCTTTTCCAGGTTCCATGTATATTGTCTCATATTCGACTAAAACGTTACAGCATAGCTGAAGCGGTTCCCATACCAGATGTCAAGGACTCTTGCAGCCATATTGGGAGGTGCTGCAGGAGTCATGGCATTGGTGGGGGCAGTTATTTTTCTTCTATGGTGCCTTTATCACAAAAAGAGTGTGTCAAGAACTTCAGAGACAGGATCTTCTGAAACATCTGTTCAAGGTAATAGTTGCATCGTACATCATTCAATAGAGGTTCAAAAGCAAGTGATTAAATGTTAAATGTGGCTGTTCTTTCGATTACCTGCTGTAGGAAGGCATGCGGGGATTGAGTTGTCATTACAAGAAGCAAGGCGTTTTGAGATGGAAGAATTGTCTCTGGCCACGAAAGGTTTTAGCGAGAAAAATTTGATGGGGTTTGGAAAGTTTGGGGAGGTATATAAGGGTTTGCTTAATGATGGGATGGTTGTAGCCATCAAAAAGAGACCTGGAGCTCCTAGTCCAGAATTCGTTGATGAGGTAATCATCACTTGCTGAAAAAATTGAGTTTCAGTCTTTCGGATGATAACATTCATTAATGAACGAGAACCATTTTCTTTTAAGTTTGGGTTCTCCCCATAATCACTCCATTTTTCATTCATCATTAATGCTGCAATGAACGGTGGCAGGATTGTTTTGCTAGCTTAGCACACCAAATTTTCTGAGGAATGAATCATAAATGCAAATAATTATTACAGACCTTTTTGTTCCTCATAATTTTTAAATTAATCTATGGCATGATAATTTATGTCACAGCCAGGTTTTGTGTGCCTATATATAACTCCAGGCTTAATAAAATAAAGCTTTTCTTCTCCAAATTATATGGATCTATCCTTTTCTGGGAAACTCAGCTTCAATTGTGTAGTATCTTAGTCCGTTTGTTCTAGGAGCCTAAAACTAGCATATGAATTTCATCTATGCTGTGCTTGATTACTGTTCTTGTATCTCTATTATGTTATCTCTATTGTCACATTGTCCAAGTTTTGGTCTAACAAGACTGGCTTCTCGAAAATCAGGTGCGCTACCTTTCACCTATTCAGCATCGGAATCTTGTGACTCTTTTGGGCTACTGCCAGGAAAATGACCTACAGTTTCTTGTATATGAGTATATCCCTAGTGGGAGCGTTTCCAATCACTTGTATGGTAACTCTCTATCCAGTCACCGCTTTTGCTTGTTTGATCTGTGTTGTATGGAATTTACTGAGCTATTGTGTCTTCTATATTGTTCTTTTCCATTTAAGCATCTATGGGACATATAGCTAGAAATTATTTCACCTGGATTTTCTTCCATGCATTATCATGAGATGTGCGATACTGCCACTTCAAACTGTGATCCATATATACAAACCCTGTATCCATAATAGTTGATTCTCATTTATAATAAAGTCCTGATATTGTTTGCAGGACCTGGTCAAACTTTGGATGGGAAGCTTGAATTCAAGCATAGGCTTTCAATCGCTCTAGGGGCTGCTAAAGGTGATCCTTATGCAAAATCAGTCAGCATTTTGGCTTTCCTGGTATCAGTTTTTCTTTCCTTTAGATATAATGCCAAGTTCAGTGCAGAAAAATAGAGAGAGGGGAGGGGGGAGAAAAGAAAAGAAATATTAATATTGGTTTCACAAAATACTTTAGAGTTTGGTAAGACTTCATATTGATAAAAGGTTCTTCTTTGTGTGTATGAATGGTCTCAAAGTGCATGTGCCACCTCATTCATCTCATCCCATGCTACAGGTTTGGCTCATCTTCACTCCCTATCTCCCCGTTTGGTGCACAAAAATTTCAAAACAGCCAACGTTCTCGTGGATGAAAATTTCATTGCTAAAGTTGCAGATGCAGGACTTCGTAATTTCCTGGGAAAAGTTGATATTGCAGGCCCATCTACACAAGTGACATCAGATGAGATATTTCTTGCCCCAGAGTACTACTCCATAACTCTCCGTGTTCTATACAGCTTTTAACACTTTATAGCTTGTCAATTATTCATATGACATTTACAAATGCAGGGTGAGAGAGTTCAGGCGATTTTCTGAAAAAAGTGACGTGTTCAGTTTTGGTGTATTCCTTCTAGAGTTGCTAAGCGGCAAGGAGGCAGCAGAACCATCTCCAGGGACAAGCCAAAATCTGGTTGAATGGGTAAGTTACCAGTCTTAATCACTGTAGATTATGCTGTGATGTGTCTGTTTTAAAGTAATTCACTTGCTTCATTTGTCAGTCATATTAGCGATTGTCTGCGTGGATGGGCAGGATTGAGATAAAGATTGTTTTTACTGCTATCTTGCCATCACAAAATATAATTGCCACAGATTTCATCATCTCTGCTCGTGTGCTTTACTGAAACATGCAAGTGCCCGTGTTAATTTCTAAATATTCCCGTAATTAAAAAAATGAATAAAACTCGCACCATGTGAGGTAGTAAACTGCCACTAGTCTGGAAGTAAAATTAATTTGGTATCTTTTCCTTTAGGTCCAAAATACTCAGGACTACGCCAACTTTGCCAGCATTGTCGACCAAAGATTGGGGAGTAGCTTCACTGCTGAAGGCATGGAAGAGTTTATACAGTTGATGCTCCGATGTGTGGAACCTTCAAGTGAGAGACGACCAGCCATGAATTATGTGGTAATGGAACTTGATCGTATAATTGAGAAAGAGATGAACTTGACGACAGTCATGGGGGAAGGAACCCCAACGGTGACTCTTGGAAGCCACTTATTCAGATCAGCCAAATAAAACAAATTTGTTTTCCTTAAAAAATTGTTGAGAGTGATTTTTGTGATACTTCAATTGTTTACTTCAAGTGTTTATTCCCCTTTTTTGAGAGCTCAGTGGAGATGGTCAGCTGTTTGTAAGTGTATAAAAGAACAGCTGTGTTATTATTGTTGTTATTTTTTAAATTTATTTTATATCATAAATGTATTGATAATCTTGCTGTAAACCATTACCTTTCGTATATAAGGGGTTCTGTTCTGTTATTGTGGTGGAAGAATTCTCCCCGCGGAGGGGAAAAGGCAACGGTTATAAATCTTGTCTGGCTCGGTGTTAGCTTTTAACTATATATCATAATAAAAAAATAAAGGCTCCCTTCAGCTTTTTCAGGGAGGGCTTTCTGTATAAGCAGCTAATCCACCGGAGAAAAGACGTTCTCTGGCAGGTCTCAAGCAGTGCGAACATCGACAGCATTGCTCTCACTAGCAAGGGACCATGAAGGAACGAAATTGAAAGCTTTGGTTATATATATATAAAAATTAATTTTTTTGTTATTAAAAATAAAACTAAATATAAATATTTTGATTTTAAATTTGATATTTTTAAACTAAAAAAATTATTTAGATTATTAAAAAAATTACATTTCATATGACTCGACAAGACAATATACTAGCAAAAAATGACAAGCCCGACCAAGTTGTGTACGAATTTAAACCTAAAATCTACCTTTCCTAGAATCTTTTTTTTAAAAAATATTTTTGAATTTAATTTTAACTGTTTACCTTTCTATTACGAGCTTGTTTACTTTTCCTAGAACTTTTTTCTTTTAAAAGCATTTTTGAACTTAATTTTAACTTTTTACCTTTTTATCATGAGTTTGTTTTGTATTATGATAATAATTGTTTTTTAAAATATTTTTTTATTTTGAAATGTGTTGAAATAATATTTTTTTATGTTTTAAAATTTATTTTAGTATCAATATATTAAAATAAAATGATATGAAAACACAAAAAAATTAATTTAAAGCAAAAACAAATAAGTTCTGTATAAACAATAAGGAAAGCTTTTTTTTTTTTCTTTCTTATGTGAGATATAGAGTGTTAAAAGATTTTTTTTTTCAACACATTCCAATCAAGGATTATTTTATATTAATTTCTTTTATTTACAATTTTTTTTAATTATGTTAATATTTTATGGTAAAATAAAAAACCTGTGTTAGAAAATAAATTAAAAAAATTAACCCTAAAAGTAGGTGAACTTCATTTTTAATTTTGCTTTAAATATGCCGATTAATCATGTTTCAAAACAAAATTTTTAATAGATAAAAATAAAAAACTCTCGTATTACTAAATAAAAACTTTTAAAAATTGTTCTTTTCAAACATAAACCTAGAAAAATCTAACAATGATAAATAGAAAAAAAATATAATTTTTAAACTGAAAACAAAAGAGTAAAAATAATTAAGGAAATATTTATTTCCTAAAAAGCTCTTGCATCCAATCTTCCTGTGTTGGAAGGAACTGTTCATCATGTTCATAGCCAAAACCTCCCAAATCAGATACCGTTTGAGCATAACCTCCTCAATAAAAAAACCAGTAATCTTTTTGTGCATGAGTAACCCTATAACTGGTCCCTGACACTTTTGAGCAAGGTGCCTATAATGAGTTCCACCCAAAACAACAATTAATCACTAGAAATTAATGATTTTCGATACCAATTGATGTAGTAAGGAATGTTTTGTTGTATATCAAAATCGTTGAAAACACAACACATAACTATGAAAAGACTTAAAAAAAAAAAAAATTATTCATCAAGTCTCATATGTTAAAATGCTATTACATCAATCAATTTATATAGTAAAACTATAAAATTCTTACAATGTTGAACATATAAATAAATAAATAAAATTATCCTCTTTAAAAAAAACTAATAAAACTTAATATTAAAATAAAAATAAGTTTTTTAAACTAATAAATAAATAAAATAAAATAATTAAAGAAAGTTTTTATTTTTTTTATAAAGCTCCTACATCAAGATTATTAAGGATGTTTGAAAGTGTGGTGATGATTACTTTTTAACTTAAAAAATTTAAATAATATTTTTTTTATTTTTAAAATTTATTTTTCATATTAAAATATTAAAATAATAAAAAATATTTAAAAAATAATTTAAATTTTAATAAAAAATAGATTAAAATCTACTTCTAGTACTCTGAATATATGGTCAACAAGTGATAACTTTAGTGTGAGGTGGAATGGACTATTATCTCATGTTGACGTTACTTATAAATATTATTTAAAAGCATGTATAATTTTATGTTTTAATTTAAAAATTATTTTTTCTTTAAAAATAGTAAATTTATATTATTTTAGAATTTTAATATGCTAATATTAAAAGTAAAAAATCTAAATAATATTATATTAATATATTTTTAATTAAAAAATACTTTTAAAAAACAATCCTTAAACATATTATCAAATTCACAGCGAGTCTATCATTATAGTTGTCAAACTCAAATTTAATCCAAGATCAGATCCAATCATGTGTTTCGGTTACTTTAAAATAAAAACCTAAAATGTCAATTTTTTTAATCTATTAAGAAGTTCAATTAAAAAGTCAATCCAGCGCTCCTGCTCTCCAAATTTAAAAGACAGCCAAGCTAGCCACGCGGGGAGCAACCTTCAGGGAGTGCATGTTCCGTCATTTAAAAGTGTTTTTCAACCGTTTTTTTTTTGTTTTATAAATAATATAAATTAGTATTTTTTTAAATATTTCTTAATAATTTTAATATATTAATATAAAAAATATTATTTTAATATATCTTTAATTAAAAAATATTTGTTAATTTTACAAATCGAGAATTGGATTGGATAGTAACCGTCGTGACGGTATTATGTGAGCAAAACCAATGTACCAAACCAAATAAATAATAATAAAAAAATGTTATTCATGAGATCAGATCGATAATAGCACATTTGTTTTTGCTGTGAAAATAATGTTTGTTTAAAATTTAATTTTTTAATATCTTAAAATTGTTTTAATTTTAAAAAACTAAAAAAAAAAAATTATTTTAATATATGTTTGAAACCTAACATCTGTCCCACAGAGTTTATGAATAAAATAATTCCTCTCATAATAATTTTGAGATTTATTTGAATAATAATAAGAAGAACAAGTACCACCAGTTGTGTTTTCTTTCTTCATCGCTGAGCTCCACTAAAATAGAAGACCCTCACCCAGACTCACAGAGAGACAGAGAGAGAGAGAGATACGCAGAGAAAGAGAGCTCCGTGAGGTTTCCAATGGATGCAGGAGCTGGAATTCACCGTTCTTCTAATCCATCTCAAGTCAGGCCTCCCTCCTCCCTCTCTTATTCATTTTCTCTATTATTTTCTTTAATTTTGTCTACACACACGCCCACACACACACATGTATACATATGCGCGCATTTTCGGAGCTGATGAATTCGATTCTTGTTGGATTGATTTTATATGTGTTTCACAAGTTTTGATCAATCATTATCAGAAACGAAAAGAGAGCAATGGGAAGTGATTTTACAATTATATTGGAGTTTTTAGATGAATGAATTCACTGATTCTTGACTTCAATAAATCAAACAGCTTCATTCAGATTGTTTTCAGATGACTTCTTTCTTACAGTATAATATGTTGTGTTATCTGTAATAAGATAAACCAAATAATTATTTCAACTAGTTAGTTTTAGTAATTTTTTTTTAAGTTTGTGAACTTGTTGTGTGTCTTGTTGGCCGCCTGAGTAGTTTTTTTTATTCATGTTGGTGATGTTAGCTTCTTTTTTCAATATGTTTTATAACTCTTGGCCATAGCGAAAACGAATTTTTCACTGACAAAGTCAATGATTGATTTTTTTTCTTCCTGATGTGATATTTTAATCTTTGTTAATCCAAAGCATTATCTGAATGGTTGTGTTTGGATGGTTGCTGTTGTGTGCATCTGTGTTAAGTTATATGCTGAATGATAAGAACCCAAGTGATAGAGGTCGAGTTCTTCATAGCATCATGGTCATCAATAAACATTTATTTTAACTTTTCATGTATAAAGAAACAATTCTTTTTTAGTCAATGATTTCGGCATAAATAGCTCAAATCAATGGCAAGTCAGCTCTGTACCAGGATCGAATAAGTTGAAAACATAGAGATTACTCACTAGAAATAAAAAAGTTTGATTCAATTTACTTTTTATTTCCTAATCGTATTGTGCTACTCATGCTTTTCACAAGTCTTGTTGCTTCTCTGTAGTTCTCAATTCAGGCTTGCTGTAATTCTTGGTGTCAGAAGTAAACTAAGCAGGAGCTTTTTTGTTTTAATGAGCTAAAATGCCAACAGTTTCCTTGAACCATGACTTTACTTGTGTGTGATTTTGCAGTTTTCATGGTTAATTCTCTCCAGGAATCTACTATTGGCATATCAAAGCTTTGGGGTAGTGTATGGAGACCTGAGTACTTCACCTCTTTACGTTTATACAAACACATTTGCTGGGAAGATGCAGAAACATCAGACAGAGGAAGTAATTTTCGGTGCATTTTCCTTGATTTTCTGGACCTTTACATTGATACCTTTGATCAAGTATATCTGTATCCTATTGAGCGCAGATGATAATGGTGAAGGTGAGACAAAACTTCTCTTTCAAATATTCTTCTCACATGATTTCTAATTCCATGCTGTCATTCTGATACAGTTTAATTTATGTCAGGTGGCACATTCGCTCTTTACTCGTTGCTTTGCAGGCATGCAAAGTTTAGCTTACTTCCCAATCAACAAGCAGCCGATGAGGAGCTCTCAGCCTACAAATATGGCCCCTCGGCACAGGCTATTGCCTCCTCTCCATTGAAGAGATTTTTGGAGAAGCACAGAAGGCTTCGGACTGCACTACTTGTTGTCGTCTTGTTTGGTGCTTGCATGGTCATAGGTGATGGTGTACTTACTCCAGCAATATCTGGTAATGCATTACTATGAGTTATCAATAATTATGTATTTCCCAAACTGCATGAGTGTCTTGTCCTTGTCAACTTTTGCGCATTGGAGGTGCTGTAAGAAATTCTTTTGCTTCCATCTTTTGCCGAGTCTTAAATTCTTCAAGGCATGTACAAGCAAGGAAGATCATTTATAGATCTCCCTATTACAATATGCTTGGTTTGTAAATTAATTTAATGAGCCAAGCCAGTTTTACAAATTAGAATAAGGAAGACCATTTATAGACCATGTCTTCAATTGATTTTATTATTCTGG